GGAGCCAAGGCTGTTGGGGTCAAGGGTTATGCAAGAAAGGTGGGAGATGTGCCTGGCAGTTGGAGCTAAGCAGCCATTGAATTTGCTGTCCTCTTAATCCAGTGTTCCCAGGGAGAGAATTAGAAACTAATTTCAAGCTTTTGTGTACTGGGAGAAAACCGTAATGGGGTCTTCCAGGTCAGCAGGTGACACGCTCACTTGAAGTGGCAGCCGTCATTGCCTTGACTGTAGGATACGATGCTGGTCGGAAACCTGGCCGGATCTGCTGCATTCAGGATGGAACGGCCAGTGCAGGGCGTATTCTGTGGTCTGCATCCTGGAGTGCTTGCCGAAAAGCTTGGGAAGCAGAGCATGTGTAAAAGTTAACAGCGTGGCCAGTGCCCAACGTGCGGCACAGATGCGAGGATGCAGCGGAAGAAAACTGAGTGTTGGCCTTGAAGGGAGGGGAGACCCTGGCAGGTGGTGAAGACAGTCTCCCAGCTAGAGGGATGTGCCAGCGTGCATGGGGCGTGGGCAAAGAGAAGAGGGCCCAGGGGGTTAAGCTGCCTCTTGCGACGCTGACATCCCATTTTGGAGTGTCAGTTTGAAGTGCACCTGCCCTTTGCCAATGTGGGACATCCAGATGGAGTCCCTGGCTCCTGATTTTAACCTGCATGTTGTGGTCATTTGAGTAATGAACCAGTGGATCGAAGATCTCTCTCCCCCTCTGTCCCCCCTCTGTCCCCCCTCTGTCCCCCCTCTGTCCCCCCTCTACCCCCTTCCTCCCCCTCTCTCCCCCTCTGTCCCCCCTCCCCCTCTCCCCCTCTCTCCTTCCCTTTCAAAATAAATATTTTTTTAAAAAAAGAAAGAATGAGGAAAAGGGTAAAGGGAGTGGGAGAGGACCAGGGTCTCTGAGCAGGAGAGCTGTGTTCAGGAGATGGTGGGGGATGGTTGAGATGATTGGATTGTGCAGAACTTGAGGAACAGTGAACTAGCTGGGCAGAAATAAGAGGGTCAGATACTTCATAGGTGAATTCTTTTTGGATGTATCTATGAGACAGTTTTAATGCTTTTTATCCCCATTTAGGAATCACTAAATCTATAAAATCTGTAAATTGAAAGGATTTGGAAGAGTGGATCTTTGTTTTAAAGATTTATTTACTATTTATTTGAAAGTCAGAATTATAGATACAGCTGAATAATGTTTTCAGCATGTAACTGGGTAACTGACAGATAATCCCCAAAGCAGATAAAATTATTCAGCTTCCCAAAATTAGAGTTTTATTTTAGGTTCACCAAGAAGCTGTGAGTGCTAGAAGTAAGATATGCTCTGAGCACTTTTTTTTGGTTTGAAAGATTTATTTATTTTCTGGAAGGTAGAGTTACAGAGAGAGATGAGAAGTGGAGGAAGGGAGAGGAGACAGATACATAGAAATCTTCCATCTGCTGGTTCGCTCTCCAAATGGCCGCAGTAGCCAGAACTGGGCCAGGCTGAAGCCAGAAGCCTGGAACTCCATCCTGCTCTCCCACACGGTTGGCAGGGGCCCAAGCACTTGGGAGTTTTTCTGCAGCCTTCCTAGGCACATTAGTAGGGAGCTGTTTTGGAAGCAGAGTAGTTAGCCAGGACTCAAACCAGCACTGGCATACAGGGCGCGACAGTTGAAGCAGTAGCTTAATCTGCTTTGTCCTGATGCTGGCCTCTGCATGAACTTTTTTTTTTTAAAGATTTATTTATTATTTATTTGAAAGTCAGAGTTACACAGAAGGAGAGGCAGAGAGAGAGAGAGAGAAAGAGAGAGAGAGAGAGGAATGAGAGAGAGAAAGAGAGTAAGAGAAAGAAAGAGAAGTCTTCCATCCTCTGGTTTCTCCCCAGTTGGCCACAACTGCCAGAGCTGCACTGATCCGAAGCCAGGAGCTGCTTCCGGGTCTCCCACATGGGTGCAGGGGCCCAAGGTCCGGTGCTTTCCCAGGCCATAGCAGAGAACTGAATCAGAAGTGGAGCAGCCGGGACTCGAACCGGCACCCATATGGGATGCCAGCACCACAGGTGGCGGCTTTACCTGTTACGCCATAGCGCTGGCCCCCTGCATGAACTCTTTACCAAGAATACTAGCAATGTGTTTTGTTTCATTTTGTTTTAGGTAGCTCAGATTACAGTTTATAACCCCTGCCTTACAACTTTTGTAGGCTAAAATTACCATATCTTCTTTTATCAGAATGAGAGAAGAGATTTTGGGGCTTTTTTTTTTTATGTTAAACTTACCCAACACATGAAAAACAAAAAAATCACATTCCTGACCACATTCCTGCCAAAGTGGAATAATCTTCGTTTATTCATACCTGTTCTGTCAAGCTCCTCAACTGTCATAAATGGAAACCAAGCTCATCCTAAAAACAGAAACTGAGAGAAAGGGGGAGAGTGAGAGGGAGGAGAGAGAAGGAAAGAGAGAGAGAGCTTCCCTGCGCTGTTTCAGTCCCCGAATGTCCACAACAGCTAGGGTTTAGTCGGAGTGACGCAGGAGCCAGCACTCAATCCAGGCCTCCCTCACACGTGGCAGACACTCAGTTACTTAAGCTGACTCTGCTGCCTCCTGAGATCTGCATTAAAGGAACAGGAGTCCGGAGCAGCCGCTCTGATGTGGGTGTGGGCATACTAGCTGGTAGGCTGAAGGCCCACTCCCCCAGTCTCGGCCTTGATTTGATTTCCTGTAAAGCCCATCAGTCTGTCCTGTCCACCAATCATCCTTACTCCCCAGATTCTTACTCTGCTTACTCAATGCACCCCTCTTGCCGCTCGAGACCAGGGTGCTTATTTGGGAGTTTATGGATGGGGGCAGACATGAGAGGGAGAGTAAAGGATTATGAACCCTCTGAAACTGTGAACTTCCTAAAGTAACATGCAAAACTTGGAGTGATTATTGTATTATGTATGTGTACCATGTATGCTGGCAAGGAGAGGGACTCGAGACTAATCACTGCCTTATATACTCTTATATTTTATTTTCAAATTAAATTACAGCCTACATTGACTGCCTAGTTTCAGATCCCCAGAAAGCTGTTTGCACAGAAATGCACTTTGGTGTTTGTGCTACTGATCAGCCTGGGGGACATTATGAAAAGTGACTGACACTTGATGCCACATTAGGTAAGGAGATACTGTTGAGGGAATTCTTCCCAAGGGTTCACTTTACAAGTGCCCATCTAAGAACATTTCTCTGAAGACTAAGTGTAGGGGTGCCCGCGTTATCTACCTGTCACCACGACTTACATTACCTGCTAGCTGTGGAGCCCTGGGCTGCTGCAAGTGCACAGACTTTCGGCACCTCCTGTAAAGTGTACTGGGTCTGGGAGCATACGTTCTGTCCACAGTCTTAATCTTAATTCCCTCCCATTTTTTCTTACCCAAATTACAGAAGCTGGCTGTTACCCTTTATGCTTTAAAAATTACTACGGGGCTGGGGGTGGGGGTTGGGGTGGGCATTCAGCCTAGCAATTAAAACATAAATTAAATGCCTGTGTCCCTCATTGGAGTGCTTGGGTTTAACTCCCAACCCCTGATGTAGACCTTGGGAAGCAGTAGGGATGGATAAGTATTTGATTTCCTGCTACTCAGGTAAGAGACCTGGATTATGATCCTGGCTCCTGGCTCTGGCTCTGCCCTACACCTCCACCCCCACCCCCACCCCCACCCCCATCCCCAGCTGTTACAGGCATCTGGAGAATGATCTGGCAAGTGAAAATGCTCTCTGTGTCTCTCACTCGCTCGCTCTCTGTCTCTCAAATAAGTACAAATATTTTTTAAACTTTCTTTAAGATTTATTTATTTATTTATTAAAGAGAGAGACAGAGAGATCCATCCACTGGTTCACTCCCCAAATGGCCCCAATGGCTGGACCTGGGCCAATCCAAAGCCAGGAGCCTGGAGCTTTTTCCAGGTCTCCCACTTGGGTGCAGGGGCCCAAGCATTTGGGTCATCTTTTACTCCTTTTCCAGGCCCTAGCAGAGAGCTGGATCAGAAGTAGAGCAGCCAGGACTTAAACCGGCTCCCATATGGGATGCCGGTGCCACAGGTGGAGGCTTAGCCTACTATGCCACAACACTGGCCCTCAATATTTTTTAAAATTACTAAGATTTCTGAGCCAGTTATTTCCTTTAAACACTTTTAAGTGTAATTAAACCAAGTCTCCTTGTAGAGTGTTTCTTCTAGAAGTTACTGATTTTAAACTTTTTATTTCAGAATAGTTTTAAATTTACAGGACGAAAATTCTGTAGAAAGAGTTCTCATATATCCCACACCCAGTTTCCCTATTATTAATGTCTCATGTTAGTATGATACATTTGTCACATTTAATGAACCCACACCCAGCTTTTAATTTCACAGACTTCTAAATAGTGAGGAATAGGAAAATCTTTCAAGATCCACTCTTCTGGGGCCAGTGGTGGACAGCAGATTAAGCCACCGTCTGCAGTGCCAGCATCCCATGTAGGCACCAGTTCTAGTCCTGGCTACTTCACTTCTGATCCAACTCCCTACTGTTGTGCCTGGGAAAGCAGTGGAAGATGGCCCAAGTGCTTGGGTCCCTACACCCATGTGGAAGACCCAGAAGAATCGCCTGGCTCCTAGCTTTGGCCTGGCCCAGCCCTGGCAATTGTGGCCATTTGGGGAGTAAACCAGCAGGTGGAAGATTGGTTTCTTTCTGTCTCTCCTTTCCTCTTCTCCTCCATTTCTGCTCTCTCCCTCTCTGTAGCTCTGCCTTTCAAATAAGTAAATATTTCAACAACAAGAAAAATCACTCATAGCATATCTCTTAGCACTTCTGGCTTCTTGGTAAACCTAAAATAAAATTCCTTGTATAAAATAAAATTCTAATTTTGGGAGCTGAATCATTTTATTTGCTTTGGGGATTATTTGTCAGCCAGTTGCGTTTGAAAACATTGTCCAGTTATATCTGCTTAATGGTATCACTAATTGTGTATTTTTATTTTTGGATTTTTCCTTTTTTTTTTTTTTTGCATTGCAGTGTCTTAATCTTGGGTGCTTCAGGTGGAGTTGGTACTTTTGCTATACAGGTAAAACAATTTTTAATCTTGTAAATAGGAAGATTTTGTTTCTATGGATTTATAAATTCACATGTTATAAATTATTTTTCCTTAAAAAGCTGAGAGATAATTAGGTCTGGTAAATACACTATTAATTTGAACTTACTCTTCTAAGAAGAAAATGTTCTAATATAGACAGAGGAGGTGCTCCCCTTTCCAGTGGTTTGAGATGCGGGCTAGGTGGATGTCTGTCTAGCAGCTGCAGGAAAGCTGCCAGGGAAGAAGACCAGGGGCAGTGCAGAGAGACGGAAGTTTGCACTGTGGTAGGAAGCAACCAGTGCCAGTTGCCAATCAAAATGTCTGCAAACTCTTTTTGTAGAAATTGATAAGCTGAGTCTAAGATGTATACAGAAATGCAATAGAAAAAACTCTGTTTAGATGGTAATACTTCCCTACAGTGATCTACAGATTCAATGTAATCCCTACCAACATGCCAACTGCTTTTTTTTTTCCATAAATGCACAAGCTTATTCTTTTTTTTTTTTTTTATTTAAGATTTATTTATGGCCGGCACCGCGGCTCAGTAGGCTAATCCTCCGCCTTGCAGCGCCGGCACACCGGGTTCTAGTCCCGGTTGGGGCACCGGATTCTGTCCCGGTTGCCCCTCTTCCAGGCCAGCTCTCTGCTGTGGCCCGGGAGTGCAGTGGAGGATGGCCCAAGTGCTTGGGTCCTGCACCCGCATGGGAGACCAGGAGAAGCATCTGGCTCCTGGCTTCAGATTAGTGTGGTGCGCTGGCCGCAGCACGCCAGCCATGGCAGCCATTGGAGGGTGAACCAACGGCAAAGGAAGACCTTTCTCTCTGTCTCTCTCTCTCTCACTGTCCACTCTGCCTGTCAAAAAAAAAAAAAAAAAAAAAAAAAGATTTATTTATATTATTTGAAAGGCAGAATTACAGAGAGGCAGAGCCAAAGAGAGAGGAAGAGAGGTCTTCCATCCACTGGTTCACTCCCCAGATGGCCACAGTGGCTGGAGCTTTGCCGATTTGAAGTCAGGAGCTTCCTCCAGGTCTCCCATGAGTGTAGGGGCCCAAGGATTTGGGCCATCTTCTACTGCTTTCCCAAGCCATAGCAGAGAGCTAGATGGGAAGTTGAGCAGCCGGGTCTTGAACTGGTGCCCATATGGGATGCTGGCACTGCAGGCTGAATCTTAACCTTCTATGCTACAGTGCTGGCTCCCCAACACATGAATATTTGTGTAGGAACACAAACCACATTCAAACATTCAAACCATAGCAACCTGAACAAAACAAAACAAAACAAAACAAAAAGTACCCAAGCCTCCAGAAACAGGCCTAGGACCCAGTGGCTGCCCTGTTGTGGTCAGCTGTTTCACTGATTGGCTCCTGGGGGAGGGGGCCTAATTAAGCCTCCCTCAGTGTGGGGCAACAAGGCCTTCCCCCAGTCCAGGAGCTAGTGAGCACCGTGATGAGGGAGGGCTTGGGTGCTGTGTACTCCCCAGGCCTTTTGCAGACCCACATAGTGCTGGGGGCTTCCCATCCATCCCTCTGCTGACTGGATTGAGAGGAGCAGGGAGGACTCTTGGGGGATGTACACCTTGACTGTGTTTGTATTCACTATTAGTTACCCGGGACCCAGTCTTGACATTCTGTCAACAAATGGTGACTGACTGTATCAACGGAAGGAGGGAAAAGAGGGAGGAAGAAAAACAGTACATCGCATGCCGCTGGTTAGAGCATAAATTGCTTCATTCCCTTAGGAAGACCGTTTGGCAACGTCTGCTAAATCTGAATATAAATATAACTATGGTAGCCCAGCAATCCCAGTCTTAGGAATATAGCCTAAGATATATGGGTAGAGACACAAGCATGTTTATCAAAATAGGTGTTCCAGAACTCTAGGACAGTACTCTTCCTGTTAACATTTTACAACTAGACACAGGAAATATAAGTAGTATAAAGAAATAAAATAAAGAAGTAAACTGTAGTCTGTTCTCCCAATGGAATATTATACAGTCATGAAAGTTAATTTCACACAATAAAGTAGATGACTCTCACAAGCAGAATGATGAGTAAAGTCAGCTCCCAAAGAGTGCATCCTCTACTTAATGGCATTCAAGAGCAGGTGCAACTAAACCATAACATTTAATTTAGTAAAACTATCGAAACAAAAAGCAGAAAGGGTTCCTATAAAATTTCTGTGAGTGGTTATTCTAAGGGAGTGAGGGGATTTTGTTGGGAAGTACAGGGACATGGGTTGCATTCTAGCTCTTGATCTTGAGTGACTGTTACAATGAAATTTGCTTTCAAATAATTTGAACTGTACTTTATTTTCTGTGTATAATATTTCACAACAAGTTTTTTTTAAAAAAAGATTTATTATTTGAAAGGCAGCCTGATGGAGAGAGAGAGAGAGAGAGAGAGATCAATCGATCTTCCATCTGCTGGTTCATTTGCACATGGTTGCAACAGCCAGGGCTGGCATGCAAAAGCCAGGAGCCTTGAACTCCATCCGGGTCACTCATGTGAGTTGCAGGGGCCCAAGTATTTGGGCCATCCTCCACTGCTTTCCCAGGTGCATTAGCAGGGAACTGTATTGGAAGAGGAGCACTGGATGCTGGGGTTCAAATTCATGCTCTGATATGAGATGCCAGCATTACAGGCAGTGGCTTACCTCACTGTGCCACAGTGCCAGCTCAAAAATATTTTGAAATTAGAAAAATGAATAATGAGTGTCAAGGTTGAATCCTATACAAAACAGCATAGGAAAAATGTGAATGAACAATAGGATAACCTATCTACAGACAGTGAAAGAATGTCACAACATGCCCATCAAACAGGTTAAAAGATACTTAATGCATAATAAGGACATGGAAAAACAAAAAGAAATCAGAATTGGAAGAAGGAAAAGACATAAACATGAAGGAAAATAATTTAGTAATGGAAACTAAACTAGAATGCATTAGCAAATAAACACAGCACATAATGCTGCTCTAATAGATTGTAGGGAAAATTTTAAGTTACAAAAGAAACGAAAAGATAAAAATAGATTCAAGAGAAAGTGTCAGATATTGAAAGCAAGATAAGAAGATTGATAAATGGGATAATAGGAGTCCCTGAAGAAGAAAAGCACAATAAGGAACAAGAACAGATAACAAAACCTACCACGTTTCCTACTTTCCTTAAATTAAAATGAGCTGACACTGCAAACTGAATAATCATGTCACTTCTCGAAGAGCACTGCCCCAGAAAAAGCAACACCAAGGAAGATTACTAGTAAAAATGCTGAGGAAAATGCTGACAAAATTACTAAAGAATAAAGGGGAAAAATCTTTGAGACATTCAGAAAAAAAGAGCACATGACTTATAAGAGAAATAAAATTAAATTATTATCAGATTTTTTTTGATGGTAGCATTTCAATGCCAGAAAAAGAAAAGAAAAAAAAAAAGCTCACAGAGTAACATGTTTGAGATGTTTGAGATATTCAAGGGAAGAGTGCCAAGTGTTTTTAATACAACGAAACTGGCCTTGCAGTATAAAGGACACATCTGGACTATGGTCAGCACACAGGAACTTGGGGAACACTATTCATCTGGCCCTTTTCCGAGCAGTCTGCTACAGAATGAGCTGCTGACAGCTAAAATGCTGAAGGAGACAGTTCATGGACTGGTGTTAATTGTAAAGTTACCTGTGGAACAAAATCAAATGAGGGCTTCAGCGGAAGCCATGTGTTCTGACTATATAGTGCCACTAGTTTTTTCAAAGTGCCGGAAAGCAAGGAGAGCACATATTATCTTAGTGTTGTTGTTAATCATGTTAGTAGTACATTAGGATTATATACAGACCATTATGTAGATAAGATATAATAGAGCAAAGGAATGTTCATGACATTTTAATTGTGTCATTCCTGTGTCAGAGCAGAGACTCTAGGTGTGGAACAAAGGAGATAGCGATGTAAAAACAAACAAGGTGTTAGGTAAAAACTCAGTAGTTATCTACTGAAATATCATTTCTCACTAAAAGAATTCAGAGCTTATTGGAGAGGTGATAGATTTCGGGTTTAGGACACAAAATGTATAGGAGTAAACCTGGAATGTGTTCAGTTGAATATATGCAGTATCAAAGACTAATCAGGTTATGTCAGAAGGCTCAGGAGAGGAGTGTTTGACAGTAGTGGTTAGCCTAGCTTCCTGCTAATGCGTACTCTGGGAGACAGCAGATGATGGCTCAAGTTCTGGGCCCCTGACATCCTTGTGGGAGACCCACATTGAGTTCCTGGCTTTTGGCTTTGGCTTGACCCAGCCCCTGATATTGTGGGCATTTGAGCAGTGAACCAGTGAAAAGATCTCTTTATGTCTCTTTGCTTCTTTGTTTTTCTGCTTTATAATATGAAAATGAAAATAAAGAAAAAAAAATTTTTGACAGGCAGAGTGGACAGTGAGAGAGAGAGAGAAAGGTCTTCCTTTTTCCATTGGTTCACCCCCAATGGCTGCTGCGGCTGGCGCACCGCGCTGATCTGAAGCCAGGAGCCAGGTGCTTCTGGTCTCCCATGGGGAGCAGGGCCCAAGGACTTGGGCCATCCTTCACTGCACTCCCGGGCCACAGCAGAGAGCTGGACAGGAAGAGGAGCGACCGGGACAGAATCCGGCGCCCCGACCAGGACTAGAACCTGGTGTGCCGGTGCCGCAGGCAGAGGATTAGCCTATTGAGCCGTGGCTCTGGCCCAAAAATGTTTTTAAAATTACTTGGAAGCTAATTTGAAGTCTCAAAGATGTCACGATTTGAGCTTCCATGATATTGATAATTACAATGGATTGAAAAGCTTTATATATATTTAAATCTATGAGTTCATGATTGTTTCTTTTTAAAATGGTCAATTTGGAATATGATAGGGAACTGATTTATTATCTTACAAACTGATAATTTATTCCGCCTTTCCTCTATAAACTGTATAGCTGAGTTAACCAACTACTATGTGAGGGGAGATGTTCCTTTATAAAAGTATCCCAACTACCAAGTGAAAAGAGAGAATTAGGATATTACTATTTTACAAACACCAGTTGACAGATATTAAGCATTTGCATTTGCCAAGATCATAAAAAGAGCAACAACCAGACATGGTGTGCCTCCTCCAGTTTTGCCAGACACTCCCCACAGTTCTGCTAAAGGAATTGAAGCTGAATCTAATCCAGTCCCTAGATCCATCTGCCAGCTTGCAGAAAATGCAGGACAGAGCAGCATGTGGGACTGCCCTCTGAGCCTGCAATCAGAAGTTCCAGGTGGTGGGAAACTGCCATTGCATGGCCTGCATTCTCCAGGTGGATTCTAGGAAAGCAACGCAATAGAAGAGCCGCCTTATATGCCTATAATTTAAGACACTTAAAATACACCATATTTTTTAAATGCACAAAACTCAACTGTAATGTCTAGTGAATGTGTATTTGGGTGCTAAAACTTTTAAAGCAGGATACTAATGTCTGAATGGGGAGGGTGGGTAGAGGAGGGGTCAGGTTGGATAGGCACATTAAAGAGCTTTGGAATGGCTGCCTGCTTTTGTTTGTTTGTTTTCTGGGTAGTGATTGCCTTACAAGGGTTTTCTATATGTTTTTTATTTTATATAAAAAAACTTTAAATATTTTTTTTTAGGTTGTCTTTTTTAAAAGGTTTAGTTTTTATTTATATTCATCTACTTAGAAGGCAGAGTTACAGAGAGAGAGAAACAGAGAGACAGAGAACGAGCACCAGCACACTTGCACACTTGCACACTGATTTACTCCCGAAATGCCCACAAATGTAGGGATTGGCCAGGTTGAAGCCAGGAGCCCAGGGCTATGTTTGGGTCTCCTAAGCAGGTGCAAGGCCCCAAGCACTTGAGCCGTCACATGCTGCCTTCCACAATGCAGTAGCAGGAAGCTGGATTGGAAGCAGAATATCTCAGATGCAAGCAGTCACTCTAATATGGGATATGGGCATTGCAAGTGAAAGCTTAACCAGATGTGCCCCAGTGCCCATTCCTAAAACTGTTCTTAAAACTTTTTAGTGGAGTCACCAGGCATCCCATATGAGCACTGGTTCAAGTCCCCATTGCTGTACTTTTTTTTGACAGACAGAGTTAGAGACAGAGTTAGAGACAGTGAGAGAGAGACAGAGAAAGGTCTTCCCTCCGTTGGTTCACTCCCCTAACAGCCACTACGGCCAGTGCTGCACCGATCCGAAGCCAGGAGCCGGGTGCTTCCTCCTGGTCTCCCATGCAGGTTTAGGGACCCAAGTACTTGGGCCATCCTCCACTGCACTCCCGGGCCACAGCAGAGAACTGGACTGGAAGAGGAGCAACCGGGACTAGTACCCAGCACCCCAACCGGGACTAGAACTCGGGGTGCCTGCGCTGCAGGTGGAGGATTAGCCAAGTAAGCCATGGCGCCAGCCTGCTGTACTTCTTACCAACTCCCTGCAATGTTCCTAGGAAAGCAGCAGAAGGTGGCTCAAGTGCTTAGGCTTCCACCACCCATGTAGGAGACCCAGATGAAGTTCCTGGCTCCTTGCTTAGGCTTGGCACAGCAACAGCTGTTGTGGCCATTGAGGGAATGAACTAACAGATGGAAAATCTTTCTCTTCCTCTCTCTATGTCACTCTTCCTTTCAAATAAATAAAATAAATCTTAACAAAACCAAAAAACTTGGGACCAACATTGTGTTGTGGTGGGTTAAGCTGCTGCCTTTGATGTTAACATCTAAAATGGGCACTGGGTCAAGATTATGAATGAGCTTAAAGCTCTTTATTTCTGGGGCCAGTGCTGTGGCAGCACCAGCATCCTATATGGGCGCTGATGCAAGTCCCAGCTGCTCCACTTCCAAACCAACTCCATGCTGATGTCCTAGGAAATCCATAGAGGATGATCCAAGGGCTTAGGCCCCTGTACCCACAAGGAAGACCTGGATGAAGCTCCTGGCTCGTGGCTTCTGCCTGGCCTAGTCCTGGCTGTTGTGGCCATTTGGGGAGTGAACCAGCGGATGGAATATTTCTCTCTCAGTCTCTGATTCACCATCTCTGTAACTCTGACTTTCAAATTAATAAGTAAATCTTAAAGAAAAGCTCTGTTATATTTTACAGGTATTTATGTAGCATGTTGGTGTGACATAGAGTGGGGATTTGATAGTGAACAAAACAAACACAACCTTTATATTCTGATGAACTTTGCCACTTATATTAGGGAAGAAGTTGGTGCTCAGAACAGGGTTAAGGGAAAAGCTAGTTTGTTGCAGCCTATATCTGTCAGTGCAGAAATTTCTTTGTGAACTTCAAGTAGCTGCTCTCCAATTAGGCTGAAATAGCTAATTCCATGACATTAATTCCATTACATTTACATTATAGAAAATAAATATAGTAGTTTTGGAGTAGGATACATTCTGATACTTAATCCTGAATAACATTAGAATTCAGCTCATCTTTTTGTTTAAATCTAGTAATTCTTTAAAATGTAAGGCATCTGCATTTTAAAGTTGGTGACTATTTAGTTCTTCCCTCTACAGGGGAGAGGACTTTATCTATGTGTGGTTTTTAATTTATTTGGCTCACTCCCGAAATGCCCAAATAGCTGGTGCTGTGTCAGGCTTAAGCCCAGTACCTACCCTCTAATCCACGATTTAAAAATAAAATACAGTGGGCTAAGCTGAACACACCCCACATTGGAGTATCTGGATTCGAGTTCCATCTCGGCTTCTCTTTTGGCTTCTTGCTAACACACCGCACCCTAACAGCTCAAGTTCTCGGGTCCCTGCTGTCCACATCCGAGACCCAAATGTAGCTTCTGGATCCTGGCTGTTGCAGGCAGTTGGGGAGAGAACCAAAAGATGGACGATTGGTCTTTCTGCCACCCGTCCTCCCTCCCTATCTCTCTGCTTCTCAAATAAAATACATCAAAATAAAATGCCCATAGTTTCTTCTACCTCTCTCTAAAATCACCTTTCATATTTTGGACATTTTCTGAGTACATGGGATATTTTATTTTATGGCATTTACCTTTGTCATCACTGAAAGTGCTAAATTTGAGGCCGTTTAGTCCTGTCTTTGCTGATACCGGTGAGGCACTGACACCTTCTGAGTGAACTGATTAAAACTATGTGAGCAGGCGACTGGCTGTCTCGTTCAGGGTAAATAAGGTCTATTTCTTGGGAATTCCCTTCGCGAACATGAGTCTACTTGTTTTCACTGGTTGCTGACAGATGGCTTCCTATAGTTCTTGTAAAGATGAGAGAGTTCTCTAGAGATCAGTCTGATGGATACACAGAGGGTGCCAACTTTTTTTTCTTTTGATGAAGTCAACTTTTCTACTTTCCTTTTTTTTTTTTGGCAGGTAATGAAAGCGTGGGGTGCTCATGTGACGGCAGTTTGCTCTCAAGATGCCAGTGAACTTGTAAGGAAGCTTGGGGCAGATGATGTAATTGATTACAAATCTGGAAGTGTGGAAGAACACTTGAGATCCTTAAAACCGTATGTATTAGGACAGTGTTCACATGGGGAAGGTGGGGACAAGGACCGTTGATAATATGGAAGTGTGATTTGGCTTGGTGGCCTTACAGTCTTGCTCGAATCGTAAGGAGTACTCGATGAAAACATTCCATGTCTTCAGAAGTCATTTGGGCAGGCTTCTGTTGTTAATTCCAGATGTTAACACACTTAATGTGATCAATACTGGGAAGTTATTTAGCTTACATGGTCTTTTGCTGAATTTTAAATTAATTTTTATTTTTAAATTAACCTTAACTTACTGTAAAAGATGTGAAGACAGAATTGGAAGTGTGTTCCCTGTGGTGGCATTTGTTGTCACTGCAGGAAGAATATGGAATAGCATGTGAAAATAACATGGTTAACACTAAACACAATTTAAAAAAAAAAAAAAATCTTTATTTGAGGGGGGCCTGCGCTATGCTGTAGCAGGTTAAGCTGATGCCTGTGATGATGGCATCCCATGTCAGCACTGGTTCGAGTCCCAGCTGCTCCATTATGACCCAGCTCCCTGCTAATGCACCTGGGAAAGCAGTGGCAGATGGCCCAAGTACTTGGACCCCTGCCACCCACTTGGGAAACCTGGATGAAGCTCCTGGCTCTTGGCTCTGGATCAGCCCAGCTTCAGCCATTTGGGGAGCAAACCAACAGATGAAAGATCTTTTTCTGTACTTCTCTCTCTCTGACACTATAACTCTGCCTTTGAAATAAATAAATCTTTTAAAAAATTATTTGTTTGAAAGGCAGAGACAAAGAGATATCTCCTCTCTACTCATTAGTTCTTCAAATGCCCACAGCAGTTGGGGTTGGGCCAGGCTGAAGCTGGGAGTTGCAAACTCAATCCAGATCTCCCATCTAAGTGACGGGTCTCCCACATGGGGGCAGGACCCCAAGCACTTGGGCCATCTTCTACTGCTTTCCCGGGCCATAAGCAGAGAGCTGAATCAGAAATGGAGCAGCCAGGACCCAAACCGGCCTCCATATGATATGCCGGAGCCATAGGCGGAGGCGTAACCTGCTACACCACAGCGCCATTCCCTCTGAGTATCTTCATATTTGTTTACTCAAAAATTTGGGAGTGGAGCAGGCTTCTCTACTGAGAAGAATGGTCTGTGACTAGTGTCCTCCTGCATTTCTTATTCTTCAAACTCTGCTTGCCCTTCTTCACTTCAGTCTCATGAAAAACTCAAGATCCACAAAGTTGGCCAAAGCTGATTTTAGAGGCTTTCATGTTTGTCTTCATCCAAATGAATTCGGAAGGGAAAAGACTTACCAGAAAGGAATTAATCATTGATTTGCTTAATTTGTATGCATGTATTCTTTAAATAGATCTTTGTTTTCAAAAGCACTTAAAAGCATCATTGGATTTTCACCTCTTTTAAGTAGAGCATAGTGATTATAGCAGCTTTAGGTTAGATTAAGGAGCTGAATATTTTTGTGGATTCCATAATGACTAGATTTTGGGAGCAGGTCAGAGCAGAATTGAAGATTGAGGAAGCTGTTGATTATTCCTGGGCATTGTCCTGATGTCCTGATGTTGTACATCAGGATAAACTAAAAGGGAGAAATTTCCAGAAGGCCAAGAGGTGCTTCTACAAACATTTCTGACTGGAGGGAGTACAAACAAATCGTTCTTGTGGTGAAAACTGTGTACACTTTGAAGTAGCGTATGCATTAGTTCATACTCTGACTTGTGCTCAATGGATAGGTTTGCAGTTTTCTATAAAGATTAAGTAAGAACTTCTCAACCTTGACAACCTTAGGCTCTCGACATTCGACTGTGTAGGCTGGATAATTTTTGTTGTGGAGGGCGTGGGGGAGAATCTTCTGTGCATTGTAGGGAGCCCAAATCACCATTGGTTCAGAACTACTTGTGGAAGTCATTCTGAAAGTATTAGAAACTGATAGAGCTTTTATGAACAAAACTATTAGTCTCATTTGATTTACCTTAGAGAAGAGCCGGAGATCCAGTGAGCAGCTGTGTCCTTTCTTTTGTGTCACAGCGACCACCACTCTGCCGTGTGGTGCAGGGTAGCGTGGTTTGTGTGGTTTGTGAGCAGTCACTGAAATAAACCCTCCAGCCAACTGGTGGCGGGGGCAAAGGGGCATCTGGGCCTTGTGCAAAGACTAACAAGGATGTTTTGATGTGGTTCTTTCTCTCCAGGTTTGATTTTATCCTTGATAATGTGGGTGGATCCACTGAAACATGGGTTCTAAATTTTCTCAAGAAATGGTCAGGAGCCACCTATGTGACTTTGGTGACTCCCTTCCTCCTGAACATGGACCGGTTGGGCATAGCAGATGGCATGTTGCAGACAGGAGTCACCATGGGTTCTAAGGCATTGAAGGTAAGAAGGAGGGTATGGTTGATGAGAGGAAGCAGGCGCCTCCCGCTGCTAGAAACTGGTTTGCCTCGTGGCTGTTTTCTCTCCTGGAGACAGCATAGCACAGTGGCTGCAAGTGTGGACTCTCGAGTTATAGCACCTGGGTTCAAATTCTGACCTGCACTTAGTAGCTGTGTGACCTCTGCTAGTCACTTAACATCTTGCAGTTCTCAATGTCATCCCTGTAAAATGGGGATAATCACATATCTGCCTTACTGGGTCATTGTAAGGATACAGTGAGATCATCTGTGTGAGGATTTTGGCACCATGCCTATTGCATGAAACGCTCTTAGCAAACGTCAGCTTTTCTTAGTAGCTGCTCTTTCTCTCTCAATGCCTTCTGATATGATATGAAACTTGATGATTCCCCCTCTCTGTCTCACCAGTCTTGACACATACAGTCTCCTGTATTGAAAGGTGGAGTTCTATTAAGATAACATACATCTGGTCTTTCTGTGGTGGCAGCATTGGGATATGACAGTGTATGCCAGTGGTGGCCAGACTTGGGCTTTCAGACTTTTAGAGGTGTGTGGGCTTTTTTTTTTTTTGGAATTTGAAACCTAATGGAAGTTGCATTCTTGCATCAGTGAGGCTACAGAGGCTCGTAGAAGCATCATGCCTTTGCTGGGTTGTATCATCTTAGCCCAACACTGCATAGCCCATGTGAGTTTGAAACTCTGGCTACCAATGGTATCAGGAGAGTCTCTGGGACATGATTAATCAGCCTGAGTCCGTTAGCAGGGCCGTATGGAGCCATAGTATGCAAAAAAGATTGAGGGTGGTGGAGACTAGCCCAGGCAGCCTTAGTTCAGGGACTTAGTGGAGATTTGAGAGTCGGCTCTCCACTATACATGGTAGCCTCTTGTCATTACACTGGGGACAGGAGCTTATATAATTTCTTGTTATAAATTGTTGATCATTATAGACACTGACTTAAAATATGAATCAGTATTGGAATATGTGACAGAAAATATAAAGGTAAGCTCAATATTTTTTATTTATTTACAGAAAGACAGTAGGGAGTTCTTCAGTGGTAAAAAGATTGTGAGTCACTGGTCCATCCAGCCAACACTCAGCCATGTTTGTGAGATGACAGGCTTGGTAATTATCCTTAGTTGATTCTTTATTCTAGAAATTAAATTAATTTGGGATCTTTCAGGGCGTGACTTTGAGCACTTTGGTCTCTTAAATTCTGTGTTCTAAAAAATACTTAGAGTTGGTGAGGTAGAGCTCCAGGAGAGGAGACCATGACTCAGTTCTTAGGCAACACTGGCAGGTCTGGGCAGTAGAGATGAACAACTCCAGCTGCAGTTCTGTGTGTGTGCTTGTTGTCGTTGGTTAAAGAATTTATTTTATTTATTTGAGAGGCGGAGTCACAGAGAGAGGAAGAGACAGAGAAGTCTTCCATCTGCTGGTTCACTTCCCAGATGGCTGCAACAGCTGGAGCTGGGCCAGTCTGAAGCTAAGAGCTTCTTCCTGGTCTCCTACGCAGGTACAGGGGCCCAAGCACTTGGGCCATCTTCTGCTGCTTCCCAGGCCATCAGCAGGGAGCTGGATCAGAACAGGAGCAGCTAAGACACGAACCTGTGCCCTAAGGGGATGCTGGTGCTGCAGGTGGAGACGTAGCCTACTGTGTCACAGCACTGGCCTCCACGTGTTCTGTATTTTTGATTGATTCTGAGCGCAGTGAGAAACAGTGTTCACAGGGTACTGTGTCGTAGAGACAACAGTCTTAGTTGTCGTTGTATCTTTCTTTCTCTTTTTACAAAGCCCACTTTCCAGTGCTTTAAAATTTAACTTTTCTAGTTTCAATTTGTTCTTTAGTGAGACCCCTTACAAGGCACTCTTCAGAGTTGTCCTCTGAGAGTAAAACAGACACAGCTTTCTTCGTTTTCTCCTTCCCCCCACTTGAAAGGCGATCGTGGTAATCTCATGTGAAAACCTTTTAAGCAGTTTCCGATGTCTTTCTAGAATGTGCACAAGTAAAAGCCTCATTGTCAGGCCTCCCACGCTCCTGCCAGCTGTGGTTTATTTTCTCTCCTATAATAGCCTGGGAAAAAACACATGGACACACACACACACACACACACACCCGCTCCAGCAGAATATACAAACCCTGCTCTTGCAGACCAATGGTTTCACTTTCTGAGCAACATGTTACAAAGAATTATCCATGATGGAGCAGTTGTGACCATTTCCGTTCCTTCCTTAACACCCTAACAATGATCAGTGTCTTCGCTGCAGTCTATGAGGGCAGACCTGAGGGAGAAGTACTTACACACGTCTCCTACGATTATCATTAACTGGGCCCACCGTGAGCTTGGGACATGCTCAGTGCTTCTGGAATCTAGCTAGGTAAGCCTCAAACAATGCTTTGTTTCATTTTCCTTGGAAGGTAGTTGCCTAGGCCACTGCCTCCCAGCCCTTTTCAGGCCATGGCACACACAGAGAGGCTGATCATTGAATGGCTTACTGCGGCTGCTCAGGTACAAGAGCAGTTCCTCTGGAGACCTGCTGCCCAGGGACGGAGAGGAGCCTGTAGCTCATTGGAATGTCGACAGTGATTCCAGAGGAAGCCTGGCTCTGATCTGCCTTTACTGTCCTGCGGATTAATGGTGACGCCTTTAGCTCTCACAGTTTTTCTGGATCAGATGAGAATCCATATGGGCATTCAAGTGATCAGGCACTCCAGTGTGGGTCTTTACCTAGGCAAAATCTTGCGTTTTTCCCCCACCCCCAGCAACCTTTTACTTAAGGAGTACAAACTTCTTGCTTTTCATAAATACAACTTTAAGAATATAGTGATTCTTTCTACCATACCTTCCTGCCCATACTCTTATCCCACTTCCTCCTATTCCCATTCTTATTTTTTCACTAAGATCTATTTTCAGTTAGCTTTATACACATACGATCAACTCTATACTAAGTAAAGAGTTCAAAAAATTGTTTCTCAACAGTCAAGGCAAGGGCTATTCACAATCATTGCATCTGGAAGTGTTAATTCCACTTCTATAGATTACCTTTTGGGTGTTCTATTAGTCATCACAAATCAGGGAGAACCTATGATATTTGTCCTTTTGGGACTGGCTTATTGCACTAAATATAATGTTTTCCAGTTTCATCTATTTTGTTGCAAATGACAGAATTTCTTTTTTTTTTAACCTCTGTTTAGTATTCTGTGGTATATATATCCCATAATTTCTTTATCCAATCTTCAGTTGGTGGGCATTTGGGTTGATTCCATATCTTGGCTATTATGAATTGAGCTACGATAAACATGGGGGTACAGATAACTCTTTCATTAGCTGATTTCATTTCCTGTGGGTAAATTCCCTGGAGTGGAATGGCTGGGTCATATTGTAGGCCTGTATTCAGACTTCTGAGGTATTTCCATACTGTCTTCCACAGTGGCTGTACCAGTTTACATTCCCACCAGCAATGGCTTAGGGTACCTTTGCCCCCACATCCTTGCCAGCATTTGTTGTTTGTTGATTTCTGTATGAAAACCATTCTAATGGTGGTGAGGTGAGACCTCATTGTGGTTTTTGTTTGCATTTCCCTGATGGCTATTGATCCTGAGCATTTTTTTATGTGTCTGTTGGCCATTTGGGTTTCCTCTTATGAAAAATGTGTGTTTAAGTCCTTTGCTGCCTCCCTCCCTCCCTCCCTCCCCCACCTTCCTTCTTTCCTTCCTTTCTTCCTTCTGCAGAGCTACAGAGAGGCAGCAGCAGCAGAGAGAAAGAAGTCTTCCATCTGCTGGTATACTCCCCAAATAGTTGGAGCTCAGCCAATCTGAAGCCAAGGCCAAGAGCTTCATCCTAGTCTCCCACATGGGTGCAGGGGCCCAAGAACTTAGGCCATCTTCTACTACTTTCCCAGGTCACAGCAGAGAGCTGGATCGGAAGAGGAGCAGCTGGGCCTCTAACCTGGTGCTCATTTGGAATGCCAGCACTGTAGGCAGCAGCTTCACCCATTATGCCACAGCACCAGCCCCTTGCCCATTTCTTAACTTGGTTGTTTGTTTTGTTGTTAAGTTTCTTGAGCTCTTTATAGATTGTGGAAATCAATCCTTTCTCAGTTGTATAGTTTGCAAATATTTTTTCTCATTTGTTGGTTGCCTCTTCACTTTGCTGGGTGTTTTCTTTTGTAGTACAGAAACTTCTCAGTTTGATGTAGTCCCATTTGTCATTTTTGGCTTTGATTGCCTGTGCCTCTGGATCTTTTCAAAGAACTCTTTGCCTATGCCATTGTCTCACAGTCTTCCCCAGCGCGTTCTAATAATCTGATGGTATCAGGTTGTAGATTTAGGTCTTTAATCTATTTTGAGTGGATTTTTGTGTAATGTGTAAGGTAGAGGTCTTGCTTCATACTTTTGCATGTAAAGATCCAGTTTTCCGAGCACCACTTGTTGAAGAGACTGTCCTTGTGCCAGGGATTGATTTTTATCTCCTTTGTCAAAGATAAGTTGGTTGTAGATATGTGGGTTGATTTTTGCCATTTCTATTCTGTTCCATTGGTCCGTCCATCTGTTTTTGTACCAGTACCAGGCTGTTTTGATTCTAACTGTCCTGTGGTATGTCTTGACATCTGGTATTGTGATGCCTCTGGCTTTGTTTTTGTTGTGTAAGATTGCTTTAACTATTTGGTGTCTCCTGTGTTTCCATATGAATTTCAGAATCATTTTTTCTGTATAGGAGAAGAATGTCCTTGATATTTTGATTGGTATTGCATTGAATCTGTAAATTGCTTTTGCTAGTATGGACATTTTGATGATATTGATTCTTGCAATCCATGAGCATGGAAGATTTTTCTATTTTTTGGTGTCTTCTAATCTTTCTTTAATATTTTGTAATTCTCATTATAGAGATCTTTCACCTTCTTATTAAATTTATTCCAAGGTATTTGATTTTTTTGGTAGCTATTGTAAATGGGATTGATCTTAGAAGTTCTTTCTCAGCCATGGC